GCTATCGATTTTTTTTGCATACTAGCATGCTAGTTAACATTCATGTCAGTCAGCTGTTGGCTCTCACACTAGCCAATAGAATCTTCCTGCCTATTTGTGGGAGCCAGGTATAGGCTCTCACTCTGGCCAGTAAAAAATGGCCACAAACTACAAGAAAACTGCTGTAGAAGCATGAAAAAATCGATTATTTCCACTATCGATGGGAGTTGGGAAATTCAAAGTTGGTCTTGGCCTTCCCGCTAACTTGGAGTATGTGCATGTAAATTTTGTCGCAAATCCGTCGAAAATTGTGGCTATGTATTCGTTACACACACACACACACATCCTGCCTTTTATAGATAGAGATATGCTGCTCAATGTATCATTGTTGGTTACACAATGAAAAAATTAAATAAAAGATTCAATGAACACAGGTATGATGTCAGACACAACAATGTGACAATGGAACTTGCAGAACATTTTATTACAAATGACTTAAGATGCATATTCTGCAAAAATATTCAGAATCTACTGATGTTTTGACCCTTAAAATTCATGAAGATAATTATGTAAACAAATTACTAACTTCTCTGCTCGGGGTAATGGACAGAATAACAGGAGAGTTCCATGAGACTTCTACTTACTAACTAATCAACTAACGGAAAATTCCAAGATGATCATGATCATCATATTAAGCACATTTCAGTTTCTTGGTTTTCAATTGTTTGGATGCGTTCATTACCAGGACAGCCATTTTTTCATTACAAGACAAGCAACATTTCTACAAAGACTTATAATTTTTATAGATTTATATATTTTTATACTTAAAAATTTTTTTAAATATAACTTGAAGAAGACAAAGATTCTGTTGAAATATTGTTTAACATTGTGAAATTCTGCTTTTCTCTTAACTATTATTATTATTATTAATAATAATAATAATATTATAAATTTTATAATTATTATATATTTAATATTATATTTATTTATTCTCATAATTTAAACTCTGGACTGAAGTTGGTCAGAAGTTGAATTTTTGCTTCAAGCTGGGACTGAAACCCAACCAAGTTGCCATCAGTCAGAAATTCTAACCCCAAGGCTATTGGCACCTGGCAGAGGAAGGCAAATTTTTATGTATTTATTCTTTCATAAACATGCCAGTGACTTAGAGTACCCAATCTTTTGCAGAGTCTTGCATTATTTGCTGTAATATTCACTGTTTACAAATTCATGCTATATATATATATATATATATATATATATATATATATATATTTGAATAAATTATCTAGCTCTGCAGTCTAGCTCAGTGTAACCATTTTACATATCATGTCACAAGATGCATAAACAGGAATAATAGTGTTAAAGTAATGTCCAAATGTCATAAACAAAATCTTTTCTAGAATACTGACAACAGTTCCGCCAACCAAACTTCACTGACAAATTTTCACTCTTCCCATGGTAGGTTTTTCAGGTACTCTCCAACTTTGCCATACACATGGGATTGTCTCCTAGACCAAAATGATCAAGAAGTCAGTTCCTTGATAATTCTACCTCCGTTTCATGTTCGGAAGTCTAACGTCCATCTGTTTGAGGTTGTACAATTGTAGGATTATGCCCATAATGCAAGATCTGTGGTTGCAAATGAAAAACCATACAGAAGTAGAAAGTGTATTAATAATAATAATAATAATGAAGTCATCATTACTGGAACATTTGAAATGGAAAATTGAAATTAAAAGTATCAGGTCATCCCATAAGTTCTGTCCGAATTTTAACTTTTTGTTAAAATGAATGAAATTTAAAGAGTATTTTATAATGTCGAATGGAGCTGAACATTATTTTTATGTTTAGATGCATTTAGACTGATCAAATTTTATTTCAGCGAACAATAAAATTAAATTTTGTTTGATTAAAATCCTGCTAACATGGAAGTACCAAAGAATCATTTGAGGCACATAATGCTTTATGAGTTCAAGAAAGGAAACTCAGCAGCCGAAGCGGCTAGAAACATTCACTCAGTTTATGGAGAGGAATGTGTGAATGAAAGAACTTGCAGATGATGGTTAGCAAAATTCAGAGGTGGAATTGGCAGTGGTTCTCAGTTCAAACCATACAACTGTTCATCATCATCTTCAACAACTTGGAAAAGTTCCTAAACTTGGAAAATGGGTGCCTCATGAATTGGCTGAAAACGATCTCAAATCCCGAGATCTGCTCTTCTCGCCATTCTTGCCAACTTGTTTCACCTTTGTTGAATAGACTTGTGACTGGCGATGAAAAATGGATCTTTTATTGAAATGTTAAGCGTCGTAGACAGTGGCTTGGTAAAGGGGAAGGACCCCAGCCACAGCTGAGAAGGGAAATTCATGGGCAAAAGGTTCTTCTTTCAATCTGGTGAGATTGCCAAGGAATAATCCACTTTGAATTCTTACCACCTAATGCAACAATTAATGCTCAAATATACTGTCAGCAATTAGAGCGTTTGAACCAAGCTTTGAGGAAAAAAAGACCTGCTCTCGTGAATCGAAAAGGGTTGATGTTTCATCAGGACAATGCACGACCCCACACAGCAAGAATCACGTCACAAAAGATCGAAGAACTTGGTTGGGAGAAAATTCCTTATCCACCTTATTCTCCCAATCTTGCTCCTTCAGACTTACCATTTGTTTCGTAGCTTATAGAATCATTTGGAAGAAACAGCTTTTGTAACACAGGAAGAGGTTAAAACTGACATTTGTGAGTGCTTCAAATCAAAGCCAAAAGAATTTTACAGTAATGGAATTAGTAAGCTTGTTAATAGATGGAAGGAAGTCATAGATAATCAGGGAAAATACATTGTTGATTGAATCTGTAATTAAATGTAACATTTGGTCACTTGTTTTCTTTATTCAAAATCCAGACAGAACTTATGGGATGACCTGATAAATAACTGAAATTATTCAGACAATATTATTACAAAAATTAACTACAAGCTCTCCAAACTATCAAAGATAATGGTAATGGTAATATTAATCATCTCCTTCTAATTAAATATTTGGCATTCATTGACTGAGCAACCAGTGCTACATGAGTTATGCTTTTCTTTATTCCATGGCCCTTGAGCTGGAAACAAACTGGAGTATTTGCCCTTGGATGGGGAAATTACATTTTATCTCTCAATTGTGTCTCTGTGAACATATCACAACTGAATAATATTATTAAGAGGTGCCCAGTCTCGAGGAACAGCTGTTTGCAGTAGTACCTCTCTCATTGCACTAAAGAGGAGGGATTGTTAGTAATACTAATGCCAGTGCAACTCATGGTTGTGGGGGCTGGATTATTTTTTAACCTGCATGTGCTTGGGCTCTCCATATTAAACTAACTTTGTATCACATCTTTGTTAACATGGGGCGGCAAGTAAATACTAAGTATAGTATCTGAGTTTGGACAAACAAACTATATCTTAGCTCTCAATTGAGTTTCTGTATTCAGAGAGAATACAACAAATAGATGATGGATGCCTGGTCCTGGGAATCTAACCCTGTGGCAGAACCTTTCTCATTGCAACAAAGACAGAGGTTTGGTGGAATATTGATGCCAACGTGACATTGGTTGCAGGGCTTAGGCAATTTTTGTCTAGGCCCTGCAACCAATGTCATGCAAATTTTTTTAGTTTATGCATTTGGACTCCTCATATTAAAAGAGCCTTGTTCCATATCTCTTCATCATCATGGTGGTGGAGGGACATTTAAATACCAAGTGTAGTATCTGTTATTATCTCTAGTGGTAATACTATTAATAATAATAGTATTAATAATAATTAGCAGTTCCCTTATAAGGAAACATTTAGCATTCATTGAAAAATAAGTTTCTAAAGTCTACTGTTACCACTCTTTCCAATATTGATGAAAGTTTCCTTCCTTTCCTTTTGTTTGAAGTAATGTAGAAGATCAACATTATGATTATGTTGTTATTTTCTATTCAAGTTGCATGTTCTTTCCATTTTAGTTGCTGCCACTGTTGAAAGTCTTCAAGAGATATGGTGTCTTTTATCTGGTACAGTTCTCTGTTTTTGATTCTGTAGTACCAGCCCACAAGGAAAAAAGAGGATGGTCCTCTCTAAGACCTACAGGCTTCATTTTCACAAAACTGTTTTTAATTACTGATCTGAGAAATCGATCATATACAGCTGAGAGTTTAGATATTACTGAACAAGATTGGTGTGATGCATTGGATCCATATCAAATTCCCAGTCTGATGAGGCTATTTAAGAACATGACTCAAGGTCTTATTTTAATGTCATGGATTTAGGCAATTTCTGGTGTTAGGCACAAACTGTTCTATATTCAATTTTCTTATTTCCTATACTAAATTTGTTATAATAGGTTTCACTAGTGGAAACAACAAGGAGTGTATGATTTTATGTTCTGTGAAGCTCTATACAGCTGACAGCCCACAAAATGAAAAATACCTAAAAAATGCATAGCTTATAGTTGTGACTGTATATAAAAATCATTAGAATCTGCTTTATTCAATGGTGCTATTCTGCTTCATATTTCTGCTGTAGATTCCATAGAAATAGGAAATGTCTCTTTTGGAGGATTACATTATATTTTGTGGGCATTGTGCACATACTATTTTGTCGTTTATAGACATTTAAAAGACAAATAAAACCAATGTGTTGTATAAAGATTACATAATCATTTAGAGATGATGAAAAGACAATTTAAGTTAATGTATTTTGAAGCCATTGTGTAGACATCTTTAAACATTATACAAACATTATGCAGACAATGAAGACAACATATATTTTGTAGACATTATGTATATATCTAAACAAAAAGGAAGGGAAACAAAAACTCTAAAATTTGAAAAATTCAGAAAACTAAGAAAGATTTTATCTAAAATTGGCCAAATCTAAATATTCTAGAGAATTGTTCATCCATTTACAAATTGATTAGAAAATTAGAAACTCATTTGCAAACTTGGCACCTTTTCAACCAAAGAAATTATTTTAACTTTTTTTTTTTTGATGACTAATGATTTTCTTCCTTTTTTTTGGCTTCATTTTGTTTCCTTTCTTCACTTTCTCAACCTTTTTGCATTCAATGTCTCACTTTGTTTCTCTCTCTTTTTTTTTCACATTTTCTTCCTTTCTCATTCTCTGCATTCTCCTTCTCATTTTCTTTTTTCCTCTTTTTTTTTCACATTTTCTTCCTTTCTCATTCTCTGCATATTTCTTCCTGCATTCTCCTTCTCATTTTCTTTTTTCCTCTTTTTTTTTTACAATTTTCCTTGTTTTACGTTTTTTTTCATTTTATCCCTCCTGTTCATCACTTGTCTTTCTTCAATGTTTTTAATAATCATTATCTGTTTTTCCTTTTTCCTTGTCTTTTCTTCTCAATCTTATTCCTTACTATTTTAATTTTTCTTCTTCCTTATCATTTTTCATCCTCATTTCTAGTTTTTTGCCTTTCTATTTTCTTCTTGCATCTTGTCTTTCCCTTTGTTCTCTTCTTTGTTGTTCTCTCTCTCTTTCCATCTCTCTTCATTTCTCCTCTCTTTATTTCTCTCTTCTATATCCACTTCTTCCTTTCCTCTTTCTTTATTTTTCTCTCTTCTGATTTAGCTTTCTTTTCTCTTTTTCTCTTTCCCCTCTCTCTTTATCTTTACAGTCTTCATTTCATTACTTAATTTCCTTTTCATTTTTTCTGTTTTCATTTGGTTTAATTTTCTTTTCTTCTTTCTTATTTTATCATTTTCTATTCCTTCTTTTCTCCTTCTCCCTCTTTCTTCTTTCCTCTTTTTTCCTTCCCTCTCTTTTCCTTCATTTCTCTTTCTTTCTTATTTCTTTCTCTCTTTAATCATTTGTTCTCTTCCCTCATTTTTTTCTTCTCCCTTTTGTCTTTCTACCCACTCCCAATTGTCTTTCCCCTCAGTTTAATTCAAACAGAGTCCTTAATTAGAAGAGGCCTTCAACCATTTAGAAATGAGCAAAATAAAATGCCATTTAATTTCCTCTTCTCCTTCTTTTAACAGCTCAATAAATCTTACAGAATTCAATTTTGTCTGTCATTTCTGTTTCTTTTTCAATATTAAAAAAAAAAATGAAATATTGTTAAAAGAGTTCTACCCTGCCACACCCAAAGTCTAAATTTGCAACTGTTCATTTGCAGATAAGAAAGGTGAATAAAAAATAACCCAAAGTCTGACAAAAAAATACTTAAATACTCAAATAAAACCAATGATGACCTCTGGCAGCAAATCTATTGAATGTTAACCAAGACAAAAGTGTATTACATGTTCTTTATTAATTGAGAGAATTCACAAAAAGTAAATTTGAAAGATACAAAACAGATTATAAAGAAGCAATCATATCAGAGTTAAGCAAAAAGATACAGTCTATATTATAAAAGAATAACTGATTCTCTGTCCACCACATACTACCTGCATGTAACTTTCGATGTGCATATGCAATGTATATGCATATATCTGTATTGTGCATGAGTTACTTACATATGCTTGTGCTATTTAATGTATACACAAGCACATAGACAATTCGACTGAGTTTGAAATAAAGCATTAGAATAATATATTCTCCTACCACTCAGTCTGGACAATCTTTACCCTGGGTTGAGCAATAAAATTATAAAGTCAGTAAAAAGAAAAAAATTAAATCCTTAAAAAACAAAAATCGAATAATTATAAGATTTTATTGAATTTAGATACTTAATAGAATTAGTTTTTAAAGATTTTATTTTCAATTTTGTAGAAATAATTTTAGAGCTGAATTAATATATACAGGGGTTGGACAAAATAATTGGAACAGTTGCAAAATCCACTCCTATATTTCAAAGACCTATTATATTAAGAACTTTAACTAAGACTTTGTAATTGCAGGTTATAGCTATTGTAAATATGTTTATTTATCTAACTTACTGTCTTTGTCTTGTGATGAATGCAGATAGCCCAAACACACATACACGCATATATTAAGGTTAATCTCCACTTGACAACAGAAGAGGTCACGTGGGAGTCTCGGGACATTTTGGAAAAGCAATTCAAGAGGTTGACTGACCCAGTTATCCGTAGCAACAGACGTCTAGACAGAATCTAGACAGTGGACTGACGTAAGGTCATGAAGCAGCAGGAACTGGAATTCGCACCAAAATGCAGGACACGTCGGAATTAGAAAATTACTTGGAAGTCAGTTGCTGTCTTGTCTTTGAAGGAGCAAGACTCGAAATCGAAGCACTGGTAACTTATGAACGGAAAGATGACTCATTTTGGTAATGATGGAACTTGTCTGATTCATCATAAGCAACTCCGGATGAGAAATATAAGGATGTATATTTCTGTTCGTCAACTCCAGATTGAAGAAGATAAATCGAGTTATTTATCACAGAAGACGCAAGGAAATTTGTACACTGAGAATACAGCCTGTGTTTGAAAGAAAGAAAAGAGAAAACCAGAGAGAGGAAGAAAGTGTATGTCTCTGTTGCAGCCGGACCATGTGTGAAATTGGATTTGTGTAAAGAAAAAGAAAGAAAGAAAAGAGGAAACATGAGAGAGAAAAGAAAGGACAATGAGTAAGAGAGAGAACTTAATATAAAGATAAGTAACTACATATTTTGGACCCGTGTTAGAAAGATACACATGCATCCGTAAATTTTATGTCCTCGCAAACACCTTTCCACATGTCAAAATAGAAATATGTAAATCCTATCCCATCTTTTTTGGTTATGCGTTTATTTCTGCATTCATAGTTGTTCATACTTATTTTTTTTATCCGTTTGGGTTCAGTCGAATCCACTTGGATTTGGGCATATTTTGGTATCCCAACATAAGTCTTGAGGTTCTGGTCATCGGATGCTTTACTCATGCTTATATTTTTCTTTTATTTTAATATCTTGTGTATATGTATATATTAAAATTCTTATACCAAAATTTATTATGCCTTATTGTTCATCCTTGAATTGTGGATCAGTATTTGTGTTGAAACCGAAGCGAACCTGGGAAAAGATTACTGTTTGATTATCCCAATCGAACAGTGTTCTTTAAAATATTTTTGTTTACTAATTGTCCATTTGTCATGGTCTGGGAGAGATAGCCCGTATCTCTCCATAGATGTGATAATGTATATATCTCCTGGTCGGCATATGATTGCATTATAAATTATTCGTCGAGTAGGGCATATGACAGTCTTATTTATTTTTAGAATTTAGTAAAATTTAAGCTAAATGCGTGACCTCTCCGAGTTTGAAAAAGAGCAAATTGTTGGAGCTCGCATGGCAGGAGCCTCAATCACCAAGGTTGCTGAGCTGTTTGGTTTTTCAAGAGCTACCATATCAAGAACACTGATGCAATTTGAGAAACAGCGCAAGACCTCTAGTAACTTGTTGTAAGGAGCTGGAGAAGATTTTAATGGAAGAATGACTGAAAATTCTTCTGGATGAAGTCAGGCAGCTCTATTATTCCATTCCTAGATGTATTATAGGTGTCTGTGAGGCTAAAGAAGAACCAACTCCATATTAAATAAATTTTCTTTGAATTTAACAAGTGTTCCAATTATTTTGTCCAACCCCTGTACATGTGTGCACACAAAAAAACAAGCAAACAGAGTTTGAATGAAACAGAACTGGAGACTTGTAGATAACAGTAAGAGAGCCTTTTAAAGTCCTCTATTCAAGATGAGATATCTGTAGACATGAATATATTTTCTAATAAATGTAGTATTTTAAATAGACATTACTGACACAATTTTCCTCATCTTTGTTGTTTTCACAGCATTTCCAGTATTGTACTCTCTGGCATTCATCAGGTAAATTCCAAACTGAACCCTTTATTTAATCTTTGGGGTTAGACCCAATGTCTAGGTATATTCTCATTTGGGTTCTTATTTTTATTACTGCTCAGTCATTGCTCACCCTGTTTCCACTGAGTCCAAGTACACACTGCTATCTCCAGGGATTGAACTCACAATTACTATGTCATCAAACTCATGAACTAATGCTTCAATCCACTGGGCTATTGTCACTAGAAAAATTCTCTGAACTTGGAGCCTTAAAACTAACCTGCCTGCCTGCCTGCTGATGAGTGCTGTTGATGTTTGTCATGCTTTCTCTTTTGTTACAACTGCTGCTGAAGATTTACAGTCATTTGCCTTTCTTTGTTAGCGGTTCCCATGTTATATTTATTTCTATGCTAGGCCTACTAAGGTGGTTCTCATAGCCTAAATAATTTAGATTTGAAATTTGAACATCTTGCCATCAGCAAAGCAACAGGTACCAAACCAATGAAAAATAATTGAAGGTTTTGAATGCTTATCTATACATTATATTATTACAGTTCATTAGCAATGAGACCATGAGGTTTAATATCTCATATGCAATATTACATTTTATACCACTCCAAATTTGTTATTTGCTGCCAGCCAGTTGAAGTGTGGTCCCAGGGCCTGATATTTTCATGTGCATGTAAAAGATATTGGCTATTTTCTCTGGGATAGTTCTTTATATATCTGTCTTATGGTTCTTTTCCACATGTGCACATCAGAAGCAGAGTTGGGTTGATAAGTTGCGGTAACTACTGACTTCAGGTGAACTAGTGCTCTCTGAAGGACACCAATGAAAGGCTAATTCTGGTATCATATGAGGTGAGTCTCTGTGTTTATGTGTGTATGTGTGTGTGTGCATAAAAATACATGTATAAATAAAATATATCTGGAAAGATAATATAAATAAAAGACAAATGGAAAATTTCTTTTTACAAATGCATTTCATCCCCTAAGGAATTTATCAAGGTAAATGCTGAGATATTATTTTGTAACTTGTATTTTTTTTACAGTGAGGCACTTGAGGTGAAGTATTATAGAATAAGAGATACAATTTATGGGGATATGTGAGGAATATAACAATCGACCATATACTTGAAAAGGTTAAGATTGTAATGATCAGGTAAACATCCTTTTGGAAGTTGATTATACAAAGCAGTGGTTCATAGGAAGAAGCTGCTCCAATGGAACCAACATCTCACCAATGGAATATGAAGGGAATGACAGTGGTTTGTTTCATACATGTTGTAGCATACCTACAGATAATAATGGGTATGTCCTCATTCACATAAATACAGTAGTAAATACTGTATGTTGGTCTGCAGTTGGAGATTTGTCTCCAGCTGTGCAGGTTGAACTCTCTGCCTGGAGGCAGAGAGGATCCTTAGACAAGGCTATGTCAAAGGGCAGAATCTTGTCTTGAGAAACAGCTACCTGACCCTGTTTTATACGGGGTCTAAGTGGAATTTTTGGCTGAGCCTATGGGCTCAGATAACCCACATTAAATTTGGCCTTGGGTCACATCTGATCATGTGGGGCGGTTGGTAGATATCCTGCAGTTGGAGATTCATTTGACTGACTTCTAGCAGTTGACTACTACTTCTATGTGCCATTGGCCAATCATGTGTTGTTCTAAGTATTATCGTTCATTACCAACCTTTGTGCGATTATTATATTCAGTAACCTTCTCTAGGTTACAACAATACACAAAATCTGTTACAAAATAAAATCTCAATATTTACCTTGGTAAAATTCTTCAGGAAATGAAATGTGTTGGTAAAGAAAAGTTTTCATTTTGTCTTTAATATATATATATATATATATGTCTTGAATATGCCTTTCAGAAATGGGAGTGTAATGAATAACCAGTGGAAGTATAACCACATAAACATAACTTTATTCAACTCCAACATATATTTGTACAAAACTTGGGCAGGCATTCATAGTAAGTGATCCACCATTTTGATGTAAGAGTTCTGTAAAGAGGTGATAATTATGTGAAATATATAACAGGGACCAGCTTTTTGGACTATAAAATATTGTAATAAATGACTGCTTCATTTAAGAAATTTGAAGAATAAACATCTTATTT